CCTACTGCCCGAAGACGGCTGGGATAGGCTCCAGCACCCCCCGCGACCCTAGTGAGGATCAAGCGGTTCGGAAAATGAATGAATGAATGAATGAGCACATTAAAAAAAAATGCCAAATATGCAGTATCTACACATATGTAATTAAAGATGCAAGCGGCAATTAACAGCTCCTTTTTCATTGCAAATCCTCAATAGGATAATTGAACTTTGACGTCATTCTCCGCCGACAGTGTAGGCGGAGGATGAACGCTGCAGGCCCTACCGTGCATGCCATTGGCCCATTGGCAATAAAGCTTTCGGACTCAGCGATGGCTTACAATTGCGGCTCATTTGGTCAAATTCCCGAGCAGGTTTTGTCAGAGTACAATACCTGCACCTGGAGTTCTCCTTTTCTTCAAACCAAAGTGGCCAATCTGGCCTGGGTCCTTCAAACCCCTTTGGTGTATCCTCTTATAAGAGACCTGAGTACAGAATTTGTGTCAACTGGTGAAATTGGTGTCAGATTTGTAGCACAAACATTCGTTTTACCAGAGTTTTGTCTTTGCAAAGAATTTGAGTAAAATGTCACGGGGAAAGAGGAAAAGCCATGCTGCACTGAACACGTCAGTCAGGAACGAGACACGCTATAAACAATGGAGAATGAGGATCTCTTGTATTTACTTCTCTAAGGAGACAGATCCAAATCAAGGAGAGAGAGCAAGAGAAGCATCAAAATGGGCCATTGAAGCAAAGCGTAAAATTTCAATGCTCGGGAGAAGGCATAGCAACAGGTTCACGTTAATATTTTATTTCCTGACGTATACCCCAAAATTTTACAATGGCAAATCTGCTTGACGACTGAGCGACCGTAAATAAGCACCATGCGCCTTGATCCATTTTAGTGTCTCTCACGTAAAAAATCAAAACAAAAAAAACAAAAAAAAACAAAATTAGAGCCTAACACCATGGTAGGCAAGCAGCATAACCAGCTTGCCTACAAGACCCAGTTGTGCAAAAGCTAGGCCGCCTCGATTGAGCACGGAGGAGGAAACAAATGTTGAACGCGGCCGCAGACTGACTCTGTGCGTGTATGCGAGTGATTGTGTGTGTGTGTGTGTGTGTGTGTGTGTGTGTGTGTGTGTGTGTGTGTGTGTGTGTGGATGCTTGTGTTGTATTTTTAGACCAGAGCAGATGCTGGTGTATCGAGTCTGATGTGACGTCATTGCCTTTCCTTTTGTCAGCTGAGTAGATCCCCACTCGCCTTCAAACGTCAAAGGAAGTCAGGCGAGGGAGGGGAAGTAGAGAGAGGGAGCTGGGGGCGCATGTCAGGGGTTATGCAACAAGCTCAGGGGGACAACAAACAAAAAGAGGAGAGCTCTGAGCAGTCAAAGAGGGGAAATGGTGCTGAGAGAGACGGGGAGGGTTGCATGTGAAAAGTGGAGGTAATAAATGAATGGGAGGGAGGTGGAGATTGGAAAGGGGAAGATGGATGGCGGGGGAGAGGGAAGGATGAGGGCAATGAAAGGAGATGATGAGGAACCATAAAGATGGAGCCGCCACATTCTGTTCAAGTCAGCTTTTTTGCACATTTATTTCAGCGACTATTCACTCGGAAATAATTCAAAATAGCACAAAGAATTCACACATTTCTGCAAATAGTCGCCGGAAGCAATTATTTATTCAATTACGGATGGGCGCATTTCTTTTTACATGCCATCCTTTAAGGGAGTGCTGATTCGATACGATTTTTGATACAGGAGAAATGATCCAATTTAAGGATGTAACGATTTAAAAAAAAATGTAAGGATTCGATTTGGTGCGGCTGTTGCTTTTATCATGTTCATTAATATGCAGCAACATACAAAAGCTCTCCCAAGCCCAATCTTATCCAAGTTAAGCAACGTCCAAACAATTTTACTGTGGGCCAGATATTAAAAAAATGATTCGATACGAATCTTGATACATGGGTGCGATACGATTCAAGGACAATTTGAAATTGTAACGATTCGATTCGATTCATCAAATCAAAAACGATTTGAGGCAGACATCCATTCTCATCAACACTTGTCCTTTGACATCTGGAGTTTATCTCAACTGACAGTGGGCATGACGTGGCGTACACCCTAAACGGGTCTCCAGACAATCGAACGGCAAATATTCACACTTGCATTGACACCTGTCGACCAGCAAACTCAACCGAGAGAATCGAACAGAACTCTCCGGACTGTGAGTTAGCCACTAATCCATCACAAGGTCTTTCCAAAGAATAGGAAAGAATATTCAAAGTGATGTTTAAAACCAATAGAACTATGACAGAAAAATAAAGAAAAAACGGAAAACTTAAGAGACTGAAAATGGAAACAGACAACATTGTGAAGTGGCTACATCAGAGTGAAATGGAGGGTGAATCTCTCGTGACATCATCTCATGATGCAGGATCATCTTGGGTAATGTTTTGGCTCGCAGTGACTTCAAACGGTCTCTGATATGAACTATTGAATGTGTGTGCACAATAAAACAGACCCATGAACTGATTTTAACTGATAATCGTTTTGTATCCAGTTTTTTCACTTCATCGTTCTTTGTTTCTGCGGAGGGCTTCAAATTGTGATGAGAGAGCACCGAGTGACCTGACGCATTCACGGGAGAGGCACGCAATATGACTGACTGACTTCACTGACAGATGGACAGACAGGAGGAGAGGAGAGAAAGGTACACACATGGATAGACGTAAAGGTGCGCGTGCGCGCACACACACACACACACACACACACACACACACATTCACTCACCCACAACGGTTTATTAAAACATACAGTGCGAACATCAACTCTGAAACCTTTTGATTTAATAAAGCGGGACCATAACTCTTCAAGGGCATCGCGGCCTCTGGCAGGAGGTGCGTGGGTGACTTATGTGTGTGTATAGATAGATAGATAGATAGATAGATAGATAGATAGATAGATAGATGATAGATAGATAGATAGATAGATAGATAGATAGAT